CACACACACACACACACACACACACACACACACACACACACACACACACACACACACACAAAGAGCTTTTCCTCCCAAAGTTATCCAAATACAACTTTCCACATCATCACCAGCACACATCTTATCAAAAATAACCCTCCCCGGAGGCAAATCTTCCCTCTCCCAACAGGATGTAACCCAAATTCTTCTTTATTGCYTTCATTTTACACACACGCATGCACACACGCACGCACACACGCGCATCTGACAGCAGAGGAAGCCAGCAAGCCCCATTCACCTTTGTCCTTGGATATGGTTGCAACAAAGGCTGATGTCACAGTCGTAATCTGATGCAGCTAATTGATTTTTTTATTGGTTTCTTTTGACCAGTTTTATCACCATCTGAATGCTTCTCTAAGAAGCTGCTTCAACATGCAGTCAAACTGAATGTCGTTGTGCAAAATCAGTGGTAAATCAACAGCCTGCCATGGAGATATTTATATTTTTGTTACAAAATGTGACTTTTCCCGTTACCATTTGTTACCGTTTCATCAGTATTGAATGGCATTTCAGTGTGCAGTAATTTCCACTTTACTATCTACTCTTTAGAAGTAGGATCTTTGTGTCCCCAGCTGTATCTCCCTTGTGCAGCAAAATTAGCATTTTCAGATGGATCTGGACTTTTTAATAACTTATCTTTCTTGCAAGCTCATTAGGAGTTCAGCCTTTGCTGCGGGGCAAATTAACAGTAATGGGGAGGTAACCAGAAGGCATAGAAGCTTGACTCATCAAATTTGATTGATTTTAAATGAGGACAAATTATGCAAAAAGATTCAGAATTACTCAAGGTAGCGGTGTGGGAAAAGAATATTTTAATGCCATACTTATAGCTTAATGGCAACTTGTCAGTCTTTTTACCCTTTTTGTTCTTTTGCTTTTAAATGTCCCACTCTCCCTCAGCAGTCCTGTCTGTTTTGACCAATCATTACAATCAGTTATCAGTTACGGTTTAATGTCAGCATTTGTTAATTGAGTTTAATTTTTTATTTTTAGGTTCCTGAGTGCACTGGCAGTGTTGGCGGAGCGGCCAGAGCTGGTGGAAAGAGTTATGATCACCAGGACCATTTGTCCTGAGGGGGCCTACCAGGTTCGGCTGTGTAAAGATGGAACATGGACAACAGTGCTGGTGGATGACATGTTGCCCTGTGACGACTACGGCTACCTCCTCTTTTCACAGGTTGAATTGAAATTTACATAAATACTTCCAACAACATATCATTATTTAAAATGTGTCTTTCTTTAAACATGGAGACTCAAGTATTTCATGGTTTTCATTGATCTCTTTTATCTCTCTGACCAGTGTGACCTTGAGTGTGTGTTCTGTGTGTGAGATTTGGGCCCTTTTAAAAGACTTAATTCAACTGAGTGAACCTTTGCTGAAACCCTGAATAATTATCTACAATGTTTAATGAGATCAAGTGAGCTCATTGTGTCACTTTTTATCTCAAAGGACCCCACGGTGTATCTAATTAATCAAACATTACTGAGCAAATGAAGAGTTTAATTACGCAACAAATAACTCAATGAAGTTACAGCAGTGCTTCGACCTGCTTGTGAGAAAWACTGTCCTCTCTAGCAGGTAAACATCTTCCCTGCTGAGACTAGATTTCACAAAGAAAACATGGGGTGGGGGAGGGGTTGAGTCGCAGCTAACAGGTTGACTGGAGACATCCTCAACACCAAAGGACAGTTCCTCTTCCAGAGTTTGACTTTTTGTCCCTGTGTCACCCCAGGCTCAAAGGAAGCAGCTGTGGGTGGCTTTGATTGAGAAGGCCCTGGCCAAACTCCACGGCTCCTACTTTGCCCTGCAGGCGGGGCGTGCCATCGAGGGCCTCGCCACACTGACCGGGGCTCCCTGCGACTCCCTCATGCTCCAGGTCAGCTCCACCAACCCCCGAGAGGAACCCATCGACACAGACCTCATCTGGGCCAAGATGCTCAGCTCCAAGGAGGCTGGGTAAGAGTTTGTCTTACAGGAAAGTATGACAATTACTTGTAGACTCATGCCTCGTTTACACCGATTGATCGTTGGAAATGTTAGCGATTTTATACGTTGATTGTGACAAACCAACATTTAAAATAAAAACATGTTTATGTGGATATTTTTGTGCTTATTCTATCTGCTGTAGTTTCCATGCCAGCCAGGGTTACCACATAGAAAATGACAATTTATCGTAGAGTCGCTTTATATACTGTATATATTTAGCCACTTCAGTAGA